GGTCCGTAATTTGAATACAATGCAATTTCTGTGCCACTTCTTACTAGAAAGCATTTGGATTGGGAAGCGACTTGAACCTGCCCTGACTTGTTGATAAAATCGTTACCCCTTACTTTACCAAGATCGCCCATGCCTCTTTGAACATTAAGAAACTTGTAACAAATGAAAATCAACCTCTTTCAAGGTGATTCCGAATGGTACTCCATTCTCAAGCTTGCCATCGGAAGGAACACTACAATTTGGTCTCAGGAATTACACGTGAGTTCTTATTTTTCATTTCCCTTCATTTTCCTTTTCTAATCTGTTTGGTGCAATTTTCTAGCGATTATTTCTTCAAAACTATACTCGTGTTGAAAATTGTTTTCTGACTGTGACCTCAACCTTATGTTTGCAGCGCCTCCGTTTCGGAATCTGTTCGCCCTCCCTATCTCGTGCAAGTGTTATCAGTGAATAACAAACCAGCGGACACGAGATTTGTTTCTTGCAACATCGTCAGCGGAAATTACCGAGGTACGATTTTTGGGGTTAATTTGGCAAGGAGGAATGAATTCTCGTCAAATTTAGTTCTCGAGACCGTTTACTAACTACACTTTAAACCATTTCAGGAGCCTTCAGCGTCACTGCAGGCAATGACGGCAACTTGTGAATTGAGGACTCAAATGGAGCTGGACAGAGAAAGTGTGGAACGGTGAGAAGGAGTTCATTCACTCTAACTCAAGAATCCTAGTGATAAATCCCTTTGGCGTCTCCGAGAACGCGAACTTCTATAGAGTTCCATTTGAAATTGGAACTCCTAGTAGTACCAAAATTGTCTTCTGGGTGAAACTTTAGTTAAGTAAAATACAAATTGACCATGAGCTACAAGATTCTCAGGCATACTTATGGTAAGTATTTTGGGACAGGTATCTCAAAAACAGTGCGTGTGTTAAACCAAGACTATGAAAAGTATTGTTAGGAATGGAGAATTGAAATGCAGTGCATTAATGAGCATTGCTCGGCCCCATTGTAGCTTTAGGGCAGGGATGAGGGGGGGGGGAGACAGCAGTTAGTGTCAACTTGCTTACTTAGCTTTTCACGCATGTGACTTTCAACGCAGTGACAAACAACTCAAACCGATTGCAACAATTTTTTCGCCTACTCTCCGGGACGGGGGCACTGTCAATTCGATCGCTATCTAGGTGGTGTCAGACTTTGCGATTATTTTGATTCGCTACGATTCGGCAGCTCGCTAGCACATCAGGAGGTACGAACGAGCGCCAGCTAATCAGCGAATGAATTCGCTGGTGCATCGTTTGAACCGTTGGTCACTCGTACGCCAGTGGCAACTCCTCGAATTCGCAAAGTCGGACATCGGCCCGATGAGGTCACGTCGCTCACGCAACCTGCGCAGCAAACTTCGCGGATATTGAACTTTAGGCTTTTAAACTAAACTTTTTTATTCGCTTCCTCATTTGTTAGGGGACTGCTATTTTGTTCAGCAACACCACAACTCCAACCTAAGAAAAACAGCAGTTTAATGTTCATGTGGTATTTTTGATGACAAAATCGCAAATATGTTGCCCGCTTTTCATTAATTATATTGTATTGTGCAATGCTAATCGGGTTAGGCCGCTGGTTTTTTTTAAATACGGTTGCTTGAAATGTTTGTACGCGGCCCTCGGTGCCCACTGCTGTGATGTCACGAGAATCGAGAGAATTCGTGAGCCAGGAGGAGTGCAACCAATTTATGGATGTGAAGGGTGAAGGCATTCACGACATGCGTGAAAAGCTCGAATATGCGAGTTATTCCCATAGTGTCTCGCTACCTCACGGCGGTGGGCACCAGTCCCCACGTTCATTTCGAGCCGTATTCAGAAAACCGGTGTGCGCACCCGACGAGAATTGCACCTTGGTTTTTTTTAGAGTGATAGCAAATTACTCTTCTCCTAATGTCATTGATCTTCAATGTGTCAGCGTAAATATTTAGGTATCTGCTCAACGTCACAGTAACCGCCGGCACTGAGACCGATTTTGCGTTGGTTTCCGTTACCGTACTCGATGTCAACGACAATGTGCCACGATTCATTTACGACAATGATCTCGGTTTGACAACTTACTTCGCCGGTGTCTCATCGACCGCTGGTGCATTCACTCGAGTGTTGACTGTAAAGGTAAGCATTCGTTCTATGTAGAAAGAAGCATGGAAGTTGCCGCGTATCTCTTGATTTCTCTCCGACACTGATATAAAAAACAACATCTAAAGCCGAAGGTCAGGATCAATTTGACGTGGTAATCCAGCTCGAATAGCGAAGTGGGGTTGCGAATTGGTCCATAAGCGGGGAAAAATGGAAGTTACGTCGTCAAAAACACGGAAAATACGAAGCTCTTAGAGGCGGACAGCGAGATGAGAGATAATGTGAGTTGCGGAGAGGAGGAACTTCAAGAGAGGGAGCACAGCTGATCAACCAGCAACAGAGTACACATCGAACGATGGGCGGGCACGGTTTGACAGAGCGTCGTCGGCTCAATATCGTAGCCGATTAGCGCTTCAGAGAGGCGCTCCGGGATGTTAAGGTGTTGGAACCCTCTACAGTTGCAGACCTTGCACCTCCACCAACAGGAGGGACCTGTTTCAGCGAGGCTGAGCCCGACCTCAGCCTTTAAAGGCATTGTTGTCATCAATTTCTGCATAAATCTTTTATTCTTGACGTTTAGGCTGAGGATTCCGATCCTCGGTAACAGCAGTGTGGTGAACTACGCCCTCGATCCGTTGTCGATGCATTCAAAATACTTCACTGTGAGCCCGACTGGCGAGATAAGTACCAAACAGAGTATGACGCAGCTGCTGCAGAAGAGCCGCATCAGCTATTTCGAGTTGCGGGTTAGTTCGGTTTTCTAGTCTTGTCGAATCAAATGGAAATGAATAGCCCATTTACACGTTCAATGAAATTATTGCTTGGTTAGCGTCAAGGCATCAAGGCAAGAATTTCTAAAATCCAAGAGCCGCCCAAAATTCAAGATTTGTGTGCTTTGTAGAATCATGAGAAAAACTTTGCATTATCTATCCACTCATTGATCCGGCTGGATTCCAAGACATAGAAAATGCTGTGTAAAAATCTTTACTGCCTAAATGGCGACTTCATGGGGTCAATGTATGGGAGGTGTCGGAAGTGACTTATACTTTGGCATCTGCTCAGTGAGCAACAGTTACTTCACAACGGGAAAGGCCACTTGCCGTGACACAACTTCTGAGTTGGATCGGCAGAGGTTAAAACCCATGCCGTATTTGCGATGAAGCAATTCTTTGATGATAAAGCTTAAATTTTATTAATGTCAGCAGAGAGACGAGTTTAGAACATTTAGGAGATTTCGGGGCCCGTACCTTGCCAGTCCTAGGGTAGATTATCCCTACCCTTAGCGTTTGGTATGTACGTTTATTCTTTTGGTCATCTTCATTATGTCACGGAAAGTGGGAGCGAAAATAGTATAGAATGGGGACAAAAGCAAAGTGACCCGTTCATAAACGTTTAAGCTTCAATCTTGATGGAGCAATCCTGGTTGTTGGGATAGACTCGCTCAGATCTTATGGAACGCAGGACGGATGCCAGGCTGGCCAGTTTCTTATTGAACGGGTAACTTTTGAAACCTAGTAGGGATAAGTTGCAAAGCCGCGGCAGTCCGAAGTTGGTTTGGAGACAGTAGTGGGTAAGCCATACATGAAGTGTTAGCCATAAAACTATGAATCACCTCTTTGCTTAAATAAAATGATAAATTAAATCTTGAGAGCACGTTTTATCGCTTAGGTGTCCGCTTGTGATTCTTCGTATCGGATTGATGTCAGGCTATGTTTCAATGCGCTGATATTCGTCATCAACGTCATCACTGAAGCTCACCGTTTCCGAATGGTCACCAGTGGCTTGAATCCTCAACAACTCCGCGCTCATGAAAAGGTTTGTCTTGCGATTTGGTGACAAAGCGCTTTCGATTTCCGAATGTGGGGTTCAATTCGGAAGATAGTTTAGCTTTCAACTGAGTTGATTTTTTTCAAAAGCTCTAATTTTGCGATTTGTCCATCGATTATTTGATGATGATGTCATAGTTCTCTCTGGACATTGAAGTTTCACTTTCAGCGGGCATATTTTGTTAAATAGTGGATCCCATTGCGACGCCATGTGCATATTTTGTTTACCGGCTGAAAGATTTGAGCATTTGCCTTTAAAACTGCTCGTTGTGATAGATGGGAAACAGTAATGGTAACGAGTAATGATAACTCACGAACTCATTGAATCATTGAATCTCGTATAAGTGATTATTCGTTTGGGTTGCACCAGCTCGGCTACTTACATTCTCATTGATCGGTATACGGTATTACGACATATGACAAATTGCGGAGCTGGGTAGACCAATGAGAACGACGCTGTAGTCTCAGTGACGCCGCCCACTCATCGACTCCCAGTGTGTTTCCAACGCAGCAGCAGTTCTGGGGCAGGGTGGAGCAAGCCCCAGGCGGGGATGGGTCCCCAAATTCTGCGTCTCTACTCTGGTCGATGACGCAGTCCTCGTGGTCAAGAATAGGGGATGCGTCCAGAGATGCCGAGTTTTAGGGACCCAATTCCCTGGCCGGGGCTTGCCGCACCCTGCCCCTGATTCTTCGCTTTCCTTACTGATGACTCTACTAAGTCACCATTTACTTTCTGACGCAGTTACTCACTTCATTCCATATTCAATGGGGAATCTGCTTTCATCCCTTGAGATAAGAAGTTGTTTATTCCAAGAGGTGCTCGCGTTTCAGGACATGATAAAGACGGTACGGCAGTTCACCAGCAGCTGTACCTTGCTCAGTATCGAGAGCATGATCGAGCAGCCGTCCACGACAATCAGGTATCAATGCAGAACATTTTCGTGCCCGAATCGACTTGCCTTGGTCCGCAAGTTGGAGCAGGAGTGCACTTGCGAACGTTTTACATTTACCTGAGTTCGTTTTAGATACGAACCGACATCTATTGGTATGCGGTAAATCCTAGTACAAAGAAAATCTGCAAGAAACCAGAATACAGGTGTGTGGAGCGGCTTCTGAAAGTCATAGTCATATGTCATTTACCTCCCTCTGACCAGTTCAAGAAGGATTCTGTAGCCGAATGGGCGCTGTCTGTTGCAGGAAGCTGTTCGAAAGCTCATCTGTGGCGATGGTGGCAGGGAAGGTACAGCCATGGTTCCGTCTGGAGAAGATCGTTGAAGACGTCGATGAGGACAGCACTGGGGCGACAGGAATGTTGCCGAGCAACTGGAAAACTGCCAGCATGCGTATGTCTTTCCTAAAATAAATTAAACCTTTAGGTCTCTGGTGATCACTCAGCAGTGGTTTTTGACCCGGCTCAAATTTCCTTTGTTCACTCATGATGAAGCTTTATTTCAGTACTTGTCGGCTTAGCGGTTCTGATAGCAATCGGCGCTGTTGTGGGTATCTGCGCAGTTTGCGTGTTTTGGAGTCGCTTCAAGGTTTGTTGAATGTAAATCTATTTCAAATGCAGAGACATCCACAAAATGTAGACGTTGAATGAATTCCTTCCAGATCTCTCAACATAGCGTGCATTCTTTCAATCCTCATGGTTTCCCACAAAAATTGGGCACCGTATATCTTCCAAACGCTCCCAATGACCCACGAGTGACAAATTAATGAACTACAGGTGAGCCAGTACTTCGCATTCCGTCCTCTACACCGTGAAATGAATATTTCCCTCTTTGAGCTTTCTGGCATGTAGGAAATATCGAGCCTCTTTCGGTAGTCTCTTGGTTTCGCTCACCAACACACGCTGCCAGAGTATCACTCCAAGCAACACAGTTTTAAAGAAAGGATATTTCACTTTACTTGGATCTGTAGTTCATAATGGTGAGTCTGCTGCCCACTGTCGACTGGTTATGCTATCGGGTAAATAAGCAGGGGTAATCGAACTGAGGTTCCGCTCAAGCTTGTTTCCCCAAAGAATCTCCAATCAGAAACAAACTTTAAAAGTCTGCACGATATGACGGTAGTGAGGGGCAAAAATGCACTATGGCTCAAGTAAAGGCCTCCTGATTTTAACCTTTTTAGACTAGTGTGCCGAACATTTGCAGCACAGGGATCACATTTATTTTAGCATCCCGTTTCGACTATATTTATCATAGCTTACCATCCCTAACATGTATCAGATGAGCCAGTTGTAGGCAGATGATACGGTAATTTCAATGGCCGCTGAGGATGAAAATGGTGCTGTTAAGAAGTGCACAAGTGGAACCGGAACAGCCTGAAACTCGCAACACAAGATCTTTACTTTCCCCGTTGACTCCTTTGGACAGGCCTCATCGGTACCAACGTCACCAATGTGAATGTTCCGCTCTAACTCTTGGCTTAAGCGGCAAGAGTGCTTTAGCGGTGGACCAGCACCTGAGATAGTCAGGCTTGTGGGTGTGTCCAGGGGCGAAGAGGATTCACCGCTGCGAGTAAGGCTCCGTTAGGTGGCTACTCTCTACTGGAAGAAGTGCCCCGTTCTGCTTCTCTGGGAACCTTTACAGTAGACATACCTATTACCCATTCTTCGCCCTCCAATTGACCATGCCACCTGCCTTAAACCCAGAATTGGCAGTGAACCACAAGGCTGAGAACATGCAGGTGGGTAGTGCCTGCTTTTGATGCACGTTAGGGTTTGAAATGCAGTTATATCAAAGCCTCATATCGCTCCGAACATCCAAGAAAAGCACAAATGAGACCTGATTCCTGCTGCGAGAAGCACAAAGGCTCTCTCTTCTGATTTTTCCTAGTTCCTGAATCTGTGTTCCCTCTGTCCATCACGTTTCCTCTTTCTTCATTGATAATCTGTGTTTCCTTCCTGATTGTGATAGAGCTTTAATCTCAACTTCTATCATTTTCTGGGCCTTTGCCTGTATTCTGCTCCCAGCACTATCTATTACTTGACTCCAGGGTCATTTTATCCTTTTCAAGAACTTTCCGTCAAGAACTTGACGCTTTTCTTACTTTTGGTAGTCGTCTTTTGACGCTGTTACGTCTAGAGCATTTCGACTGATTCAGATATTGGAGATGCCGATTTCTGATGAGGATATGACAATGAAGAGCAATTCGATGGGAGCAGGCCGATTAGCAAACAGTTACGGTAATTATGGAAGACAAGGAAGGTAAATATCGTTACATTCTTGATTCGCTTTCGTCTTAATTCCTGTGTTGACTCTACAGACCCTACCTTGTGTGGAAACTGAAAATTGAAGTAGCTTGAGCAGTCCGCCTTGTTTTTCGCACTTTGGTGACGATTAGTATTTTTCAAATCCCTACAGGTTTTCCGTGGTCGAATCTTTCCAAGGCATTGCGTAACAAGCATATTCCGTGATGAAGGGAGAATTTGGTTCACTATGAAAC